TTGGATTTACTGATAGGGGTCTGCAGGGAAAGAAAATTAAGTCCATTTTGTGATTTTTGTTCTTTTAAAAGGAGATCATAAGGGAGAGAGGATTGCCAAGTGCTAAGATTATGGGGCGGGTTGTCAGGAGTTCTGGACTTAAATCCCAACCCTGTAGATGAGTTGCCTTGCACAGGCCATTTCACATTTATATGCCTCAGGTTCACCTTCTGTGAAGTGCCTCCTAGACCCACAGGAACATATATAAGTGTGGCAGGGACCTTAGAAGAGAGGTGCTATATAATACCAAAGCAAAATATATTCCGCCACACAAAATTACTCATGCCATCTTGTTACCCTTGAAGGTTTATTCCTTGATATTGATTAAGTCTCAGAGAAGCATGCTAAAACCAAAAATTGCCTCTGATTTTGGGTCTTCAAGGTGTTGGGCCTGACTTTCAGGGGTGCTATATGCTCCCACTGATTTCAGCAGTTTCCTAGGACCTTGGAAAACCAAGTCCTAACTGTTGGACCATGTAATTTGGGAATGCCTACATCAGGGGCTACTTCTGAAAATGTTGACCTCTTACTAAGCTCAGGATGGAGTCGGGAATATAGCCCATAGACCCTGACTCCTAGCCCAGTGCTCTCACCACCACAGCTCATTCCCATTTTGGAGATAGAGACTTACTCCATATCAGCGAAAGGACCTGGAAACTAGTCTGTGATTTCAATGCTGATAAAACCCTGATGGTTGCATTAGCTTGGGTGAGCTCTTTCCCCAGGTCTGCAGGCTGTGGTGTGGGCATGCCTATTTATTCATGTGTATATTTTACTTGGCTTACTGAGTTTCTTTCCCGTCTCAGCTAGGATGAAGGTGGAAGTGTGTAAGATGTAATGCTGCCTCCCGAATGACTTGAAGAATGAAAATCTATGGAGGTTGGTTCTGGACTGAAACCCCTCCCCTGAAATATTAGTCCAAATTCTGTATTTTTGTAATGGGCTGAATCAACCCCATACTGAATGTGGGTGCTTGAGGTTTGCATGTGAAGCATTCATGCAATCAGGGTATCTGGGGGATTTCCAAGGAGAGAGAGGCAGGCTGGATTGTAGGTTTAATTTCCTAATGTCTTCATTAGAAAAGCTTTTTGTGGTAACAAAGAACCACTACAAAAGATGGTCCATTTGACAGAGATATGAATATCTTCTAATTCTTTTAAGAAAATTTGTCATAAGAAAAAGTTAGCAAATTTCCCTCCAATAGCCAGATATTGCCAGAAGAGAAGGTACTTACTGGAATTCACACTACCGTGACTGCAGTAGTAAATTTATCTCAGGAGAGGCAACTTAAATCTCTTGCAAATCTTCTTGAGGGACGACTCTTCTTTGTGGCTGCCAGTGTGTGTTCATGGGATCTCTCTTTGGCTGTGCTGATGGTCCTGGTTCCTTGCCATGACTTTCATTGGTCTTTGCTATAAGAGAAGTGCTGGCTGACCAAAATATGGTTGAGTGAAATCCTTCCCTTTTTCCTGCGGTTCCTGATCTTGCTGAGCGAGCTCGTGAGATAAGCATGGCTGTACTAACTAATCTATAGAGACCTTGAGAATGGCCAAAAGGGGTGGAGAGGCTACAGTGCAGATGTGGAACTTCTCAGCAGATTACCTGCAAGGTAAAAGCAAAGAAATGCTTTGATCTTAACCTTTGCATTTATTGATGTTAGTGGGTCTTTGGCTTAATTTAACTAATAGACTCTAAGACATTGGGTAGTATAAGGAGGTTATAATGCATGAATTTGCATGGGATTCTATTCACCTTCAAAAAGAGCAGTGCCTGAGCAGAAATTGGAGGATCTTTGTTATTCTTATCTGTTTCTGGTTTTAGTTTAAACATTTCACACCATGAGAAAGTTCATTATGACCTTGTTTTTCCCTAAGCCCTTGGCTCTGCAGAGGTATGTGTGTGGATGCAATTGGGAAAGGGCTGGTCATGTGACTAGGGAGACCTGTTTTATATACTTGAATCATCCCTGCACCTTACTGTCCATGCCCTGAACCCACCAGAGAGACTCTTGTGTGGTCCTATCACGCCATGGAGAGAACTCTGGTCCTGCTGCTGCTCTCTCTTGCTGTCGCCCAGTCATTTTCTCACCAGCGAGGACTCATCTTCAACTTGGTAAGAGGGGGGGGATCAAGCAAGGTCTCGATTCAGCCGCACAGACTTCACACGGGTCTGCCCACTGGCTCTCCAGAGAAGGCAACCCTCTTGGGGTGGATGGGAATTTCATGTGTGCTTGGGGATTTTCAGGATGCAGCTCAGAGTATCCTCCCTCCTTCCCCTTGGTGATTCCATAGTGTAAGAGAAGAAAGGTTTATAGAGGCATCTGTAACAATTCAACATTCAGTTCCAATATATTTGATTTCCTTCTATTTATATTACTGGCGTTTCTATAAGTCCCACTGATTATGGGGTGGCCTCACCAACTAGTGGCTTGATATCTGTAATCTCCTTATGAGACAGAAATATCCGTTGCCCCATTTTCCAGAAGGGGAAACTGAGGCCCAAAGAAATTAGCTGCCTGCTTTTCAGAAGTGTTTTGCAATCTTGCTTCCATCAAAGCCAATAAGAGTGGCAAGAGCTCAGCACTTCCAAAAATAAGTGCCTTGGAAGTGTGGATGCCACTGGCAGGCCCAGAATTGAGATCTCTGAAGTCTCAAACTAGTATCTGAATCACAAGACCAGTATGGACCAACTCAGGGTTGAGTTAGGCTCAGGCACCTTTTGCATCACATCACAACACATACATGTGAGACAATCCCTGCAAATCACAGAGAGGGGTCTTGCAGATTTTGAGGCAAGGAGGGGCTTCTCTGGCTAGGACTTGAGAGTGTTGGTTGACATGCAGCCTACTGGGCACATTTCAGTGGTGAAATGGGATATAGTATGTGTGAATGGCATGTGTGTGTGTGTGTGTGTGTAAAGTGGATGTATTTTTACTATTCAACTCTGCACTTTCTTCTTAGGCACTTATTCAAGCCCAACTTCTGTAAACTTCACGGGGAGTTTTACTTGAGTCAGTACTGAGGGAGAACTATAGGATTTGACCCTTAATGCATGTGGATGGATTGAAACTCTTTACACTCTGCATGTGCATGAATGTACGCATAGACTGAAGCCCATGCACATTGTCTGTCAAACTCCTGATTGGGGGAATTTGTTGCAAAATTTCCCCTCATGTACAGAGTACAAGTCTGCTCACCCTTTGCTGGACACATTAGTTAAGTAGCATTTTGTTGGTCCCTTGACCGGTCCTACTGTATGAGCCTGGGTGTAAATATATGGACTGCACCAAGGCACACTTGTAAGAACCTCTGTAGAGTGGAGTAATCTCACTTCACTGCCTGCAACAGTTATCACTGGATATGGGTTGCACACTAAGCAGCTAGGACCACTGGATGCTACCTTCAGGAGGAAGAAGTAGGGAGATATGGACCCTCACCCTGGGGTGTTTGGGTCCCTGTATTGGCTCTTGCTGTGCTTTATTACAGGACAATGGGGAGCTGTGTCTGCAAAGTGCTCAATGCAAAAGCAACTGTTGTCACCGGACCAGTGGGCTAAGCCTGGCTCGTTGTGCAAACAAAGCCATTGAATTTGAGGAGTGTTCCCCAAAGGTACACGGCATTTCCTGAAGTTCTGCTCTTCCACTAGCTCTAGCTTGTGTTCCCTCTAACGTGGTTTTTTTTTTTCCTCCCCTCCCCCCCTTGGCAACACATAACATGGCAGAGATCAGGACATGTGGGCAAATTATAGATAATGGCCTTGGTCAAGGAGCTGGGAGGTTCATGCCAAAACACTAGATGGCTGTGAAGCCACCCTCTGATAGCCTCTGGGATATTCCTTCCTTGAAGCTGCCCTCAAAACATCCTTGACCTCTCAACATTTTGCATCCTGCTGTGACTGGATCTTCAAGGCCCATTCAGGAGGCCCTTTTCCAGTGACTCTTTCTTGCCAAGATAGCTCCACAGCCCTCTCTTCCCCACCAGCCACACCTTCTTCCTCCAGGGAGGCTCTCTCCTAGCCCCACCAGAACTAACCTCACTGGGGATGGAGCCCAGAAGCTTTTCCTGGGTCCTGCTTATTCTCCACTCAAATGTTGCTCTGTTATGGGACTTCCTTCAGCTGCACGCATGAGTGGACCCAGATATGAACAATGGTCTACTTCCAGAATCACTAAGAAGTTCCTTGTCTAAGAGGTTCTCGGTCTGCATGGAGACAGGGCAAGAGAAAGGGACCCACAAACAGGCTCAGGTGTCCATGGAACTGACCCTGCCCTGTTCAAACCTGGGAGTTTTTCAGTTAAAATGATGAGAGACAACCGCTTCAGCTAAGAGACTAAGGCCCATATCCTGAAAGGTCTTTAGACACCTACATCCTATTGAACTGATGATGAAATCAATAGAAGTGAGGTGCCTAAATAGGAGTTAAATACTCAAATGCATTTGAGAAACTGGGCCTGAGTCCCCTACTTGGCAGTTGGCACCTCCTCATTAAAGTCTCATGTGGAGCAACCAATAGGGAGTGACAGAGACTGTCCTCGATACCTGTATTCTGCTACTTCACCATTATGAGGTAGCTAGTTTCTTGCAGGCATCATGTCGGCAGCAGCACTCGCATGCAGAGGGTGGCAGCTGCCTAGACTGGCTCAGGAGGGCTGTTCCATGCTAGTGGAGAGTAGGGAAGAAGGTGGAGAGATGGTTGGTTGTAGGAGAAGCAGACCAGGTTGCCCAGGCATTGCTGGCAGAGTAGAGGGAGCCCTGGGTACATGCCAAGCAATATCCTGTACTGTTACCCATGCCTTTGTGTCCCTTGCAGAGCCTCTATGGGGTTTACTACAAATGTCCCTGTGAGCAAGGCTTAACCTGTGAGGCTGACAACAGCCTGGTGGGCTCCATCACCAACACCAACTACGGCATCTGCCAGGATCCACAGAACTCATCCAAGTAAAGGTGGAATCGCTGCAGGGGAACCGTGCTGCACAGTTGTCATCCCCCTCTCCTCTTCCAGTGCACGTGCCTAGTATCCATCACCCCTTCCCATGCATACGTGCATCTTCTCCAGCCTACGTCCCATACATACATGACACCTCTTCCTGTATGCCACATATACCTCTTGCCCCATGACCTGCCTTGTCACCTACGCACAAAACACCCTGCTAACTTCACTGAGCCTTCCTGTAGTTACACCTATGCCTCTACATTGACCCACAGATGTGCTTTCAAGGACCTGTGCCTGGCTTCACAAGCCACGCTATCTTGTGTCACTCTGCTCCAGGTTGTAGCCTTCAAAATATCTTTCCCCTTCTCTGGACTTCAGTATGAGACTAATGCACTCTTGCTTCACTTCTGTCATGGTATCTGTTCTCATCTCTTCAAGACCCCCCATTTTCTCTCTCCAGTCCCACAATGCCTCAGAAATAACTGCCTGCCTTTAAGGTACTCGTCCTTCAGCTGACACTTTACAAAAGGGGCTGGAAAGAGTCAGCTGCCTTGCGCTCCTTCCCAAAGCCAGAAGCAGTGCTGACTTCACCCTGCCTTGACCTTGGCTTCTGAATGATTGGATTGTACCCTCTCATTGCACAATAGCTCACCAGCTGCTCTGTGGGGCTGCTGTGATTCTTGTTCCTGCAAGTGTCACCCTGCCTGGATCCAGCTGCGAATGGAGAAGGAGATATTTTATGGCACTTCTGGAACTTCCAGTAAAGAGCTGCTTCTCCCATTCATTACATTGTGAGATCTGGGATTATTTCATGCTCCAACACACAGGCACAGTTTGCACAGGCAGGACAGAGAGAGCCACAGGGCAGTGGCAAGTGTAAACAGAAGAGAGATGTTGGCTGGGAGGATTTCAGAGGTCAGAGGAGACTCATGCCTTGGGCAGCACAAGGTGAGAGAATGACTTCCTCCCTTCAGGTGACATTCCCTGCTGTGTTGTGGGCACCACACTGGTGCAAAAGTCTTCTCTTCCCCCGCACCCAATGAATTTCCCCTTCCAGAGTACTGCTAGCTCCATCACAGCTGTGCAAATCTCTTCCAACCAAGGTGTTACCTAGTTGTGGACTATGTAGGACAGATTGCAGTTTTCTCAGCTTTATTCATTAACTGAAATAATTGACCAGGTAGCATTTCTTTTTGTGTCCCAGCCAGATTTCATCTCCTACAAACTACCATGACCATTTAAGTTCTCTAAGGCATTTGCCTCTCCTCCTAAGGGAAGATCACAGGCCAGGGGTGGGCAAGATGCAGCCCACCAGGCCATTCCATCCAGCCTGCGGGACCCCTAAAAAATTTAGAAAATTAATATTTATCGGCCCCTGGCTGCCTGTCATGTGGCCCTCAAAGGCTTGCCAAAACTCAGTGAGCGGCCCTCCGCCTGAAATAATTGTCCACCCCGTCATAGGCCATCGTGGAAGCTGTTTCATCAGGGAGCTCAGCCGACAGGGGAGAACGGGAGCAGGGCTCAGGCAGATGCCAGCCCCATAAGACCCCATGCCAGTGGGTCAGAATGGAGAGAGTTCAGATTTGATTTTTTGCCGCAGCATTTCCTTAACTGTAGGGAGATAAAAACGTTTCCTAACCAGCTCCATTTACCACGTATCCTAATGTATGGCACGAGACTGCTTTCAGGCTGTGTGTATGGAAATGCTGTATTTCTTCACATACCACATGCACCTTTCCCCTCAAAATCAGTCCTCCAAAATTAAGGTGCATGTTTTAATCAGGGAAAATGGGTTCCTTCACTGGAATAGGAGCATGGAGACACTGCTGCTGAAATGACCACTGCTTCTTTCTAGCCCAGTAGGCAGAGGGAGTGGAGTCCAGTGTTACCCCTCTCACGCTGCTGAGGAGTTGGTTTTTGCCGTTAGTAGTAGTAGGCATCTCTCTGTTTCACGAGACAGTAGAATTATGCTGAGTGAGACTTCAGCTCGCTGAACCTAGTCCACACTTGAAAGATAAGGTGAAGCTGGAGTGACTGCCCCAGGCCACAAAAGCCTAGGCAGTGTGTATGGAGACACCGAGCTGCCCACACACCAGCGTCCCCCTCAGCCTTGCTGGTTTAATCCAAAGGAAAGGCAGGTGCCAGTACATGTGGAACCACCTTGGCTGCAGGAGGCGCCGGAGCAAAGGAGATCATCCATTTGTTCATCTATCGAGGCTCCGCTCCCAGACTGGCTGCCAACCAGGGTTAAAGATCCCATTCTACCCTATCATGGAGTGGACTTCTGTTAGCTGAGCAGACAAAAGGTGCTAATCATTTCCTTAGCAGCTATGAGTGGTTGAATGCACCATAGCTTGTGCCTGCAGCAACCATTGAGCTGGCTCAGGCCAAGGGAGTCGCTGCGTGCAGTCATCTGTGGCTCTGCCAAAGTGTATGTATATTTGTTTGTGTGTGCATATAAGTAGGCACCATGCATATATAGTAAATGTGGTTGTTGGGTCCCTACTAGGCCCATCTGGTCGCTTTGCGCACTGGTGTGGTAAGAACAAGACACAGCAAGGGCAAACAGAGGCAGGGAAAGGTAAAGAGTGACTTGTTTCAGGGCCCAGCAATTCAGCATCAGCCCCAAGATTGGAGCCCTGGCTCCTCCTCTGCCTTAATCACCAAGCAGACCTTCCTCTAGTGCTATATGTTGCTCTGACATGAGTGGAGGAGCCTGAATTTCCTTGAGCATACACGAGTGCATTTCAGGTGTGCTGTAACTGGCCAGATCTCCTGTATTTAACCAGCATGGGCACTGGATGGTGCCAGTCATAACATGGACACCATGGAAGTCTGAGAGTGATGGGAGAATTGTGCACAGTGCCCCAGGGGCAGAGGCAGCCCCCAGGACACTAAAAGGGTTTGTTAGCCATGTAGACAGGGGATGGATTTAACTGTTCCCATTGGAGGCTGTGTGGGACCCTGGGGCACAGGTATAATGGTGGGCTGACTAGTGTAAGTCCAAACCCCATGCACCTACTTACAGGTCTTCAGGCAAGCGTCCTGCAGACAGGCAAGGCTGCCAGGTCCATTGCCCTTGGCAAGGAAGAGCCTTTACCTGTTTTCTTAGCTCCAGTCTAGTGGCCTGTGGGGTGTACCCCAGCAGCCTGGTCCCTGGAGAGTCAGACTGGGAGGCAGGGAGAGGCTCTCCCAGCATGTTCAAGGGGCTGGGCCTGGTTCTCACTCTGTTTCATGGGGGTGTGAATTCTGCAGGAGAGACCCTGCTCTGATCTGGACATGGGGGGGATAAAGGGCCAGGGAGGGCAACGTGGCTCTCAGCCAGTGGGGCTGTGCCAGTGGTGACCAGCACCTTGCAGTTGCCTTGGAGCTGTCTGGCAGACAGCATGAAGCATGGGGATAGCAACCTCCTATCAGCCTGCATTGACTAGCTTAGGGCAGAGAGGTCAAAACCCCATTTCAGGCTCAGACGACCCAACTGGTACAGAACCCAACTCTGCCTCTCTGTGCTGGGGAAGGCTGCCCTGGTGCCACCAGCAGCAGTGCTTGGAAGGGGGGCAAATGCCTGGCTAGACCCAGCCTGAGGGGCACAGGGGCCATTTCCTAGCTGAGCAAGGAGCTAGGCTTCTCTCTGACCCCTCTGTTCCTTAAGGGTGTGAGTCTGTGGGGACAGAAGGAGGCAGACCCTCAATCCCAATCTGGTTTATTAATCTCTGATGATCACTCTGGTTATGCTGCCTCCGGCCCCTAGCTCTCGCACAGGTCCTCTTCGTCCGTGTCAAAGAAGGAGCTCTGCATGCGCTGGGCAGTGCTGATGGCTGCCGCTTCCTCCTTGCTGAGCTGGATGCTGAGGATGACCTTGCAGGCCTGGATTTGCACCTCCTCCTCAGGGTGGACGATGAGAGCGAGCAGGCGGTCGGCCAAGCGGGAGCTGTCCCCGAAGAGCGCCTCGTGCAGGGACAGCTCGTTGTACTCCCAGTGCACCGACTGGTACTGCGGGGTCAAGCGGCCCTCACTCAGCCGCTCCGCAAACACCAGCACCTCACGGAGCAGGTTCCCAGACAACGAGGCATGGAAGAGGTTCAGGAAGTCAGCATGCACCTTGGGGCACAAGGGGAGGCACCGCTATGGGCACAGGCCAGCAGCCTCTGCCTCGGCTCTGACTGCCCATCAGGCTTCAAGCCCTGTGGGTGATCGGACCCCAGCCACAGTCCTCTGCTGTGCAACCCACCCCCCCAAGGGCAACAGGATCAAGCAGCAGATCAGCGGTCCCTCTGAACTGCACCTGGACACCTGTGCCCTGAAGAATAGATCTGGATGTGTCCCAAGCACCAGTTTTGTGCCCTCTCTAGGCCTGGAGCACCCTGTGTTCACTGTGGGATGGTGATCTCTGCCAGCCAGGCTGCACGAGCCTCATGGTGGGAGTGACAGAAGAGGAGGCTTTCATGAGTCCCAGCAGAGGGGAATGGTGCAAGGTCAGGGCTCAGGAGGCAAACAGGGTCTTTTGATGGCAAGTCTCAGGTGCTGCCTGCAGTAATAGGCTGCATCCTCTCCGGTCCTTGCCTCCCCTCAGGATCATTGTTCCCCCTGCTTGTCTGGCCCTGCTTGTCTGGCTCAGGTTCCTGCCAGTGCTGGTGAAAGGCTGGCCCTTACCTGGCAGTTCAGGATGTCATACAGGAGGTCTTCTTTCTGGGCCAGGGTGCTCAGGAGCTTGAGAACTTGGACCTGAGGAAATACCGATGGGAAGTCTCAGACCAGGAGTCAGGATGGGAATGTCACAGCAGAGCCCCAGGCAAAGGCCAGTGCCCAGCAGGAGACAGTGATGGACTCATAGCTACTCCAGTCCCAGCCCTTCCCCACAGAGGATGGGGCCGGAGCATTAGGTCTGGGAGAACATAACCACGGTCAGTTCAGCTGACTTAGGGTGATCTTGGCTCCAAGTCCAATGGGGCTCCCTCAAACTTTTGGTCAGTCCCCATTTCCCTTCTTTAAGTCCAGGTGGGGTTATA